CTACCCAATGAAAATGAAGCAAGTATAAGAAAAAGCAACGGCTAATATTGCTTCAATGATCAAAGACTCCTTCAAATTTCTCTATAAATAGATGAATCCTCATTTCATCCAGGACACGAGCAATTGACAACATCTATCTACTTTCTCACTCTAAAAAATTTCTTTGCAATCTTTTCAAAGTTTTTAAGTCTTATTTTGTAGTCTCTTTAAAAGCTTTTCCAAAATCTTGTATCAATATTCTTTAAAATCAATAAATTTACAAGTTTAAACAAATACTTTTTTTTAAATTCTAAACATACTTTATTATTATTAAGTTTTAAAAATACAAAATTATTAAGTTATAAAAATCAAAAGTATTAAAAAATAATGGTATCAGGCTAAACTGATCTTATACAGAATTTTTCATAAATCGATGCAAACCTTTGCAACGTTTTCTTAAAAGTTTTCAAAACTAAGTTTTCGTGATCTGTTTTAGGTTAAGACTTATTAAGTTAGATCCTATCTTTTCAAAGAAACACTGTCACTGTTGGTGTTCCAGGCCGCAAGTCCTATGTTCAGGCCGTAAGTCCGTTGGCAAGCCATAGCTGTGTCGACAAGAAAAAGGTTAGTATCTCTCTCAGTATGTGTTTAATTTAAAATTCAATCGTGGCATCTTCATTTAGAAAACTTTTTAAGTCAAAACATGCATCTACTTCAGCATCTCATACAACTATTAATTCAAGAGAAATTATGTCAAAAATAACATTTTTTAATCAAGAAATATCAAAAGATCAATTACCCCATATTAACCCAGATAACATATATCAAATTGGAACTTTTGACTTTAAGACTGCGTATTCTAGTAAAGAACATGAACATACATTACCCTTGCAAAACGAGTTTGAAGAAATCAAGTTATTATCTTCACTCGCCCTAGACAAATATAAGCAAAGAGGATTTAATTATATCCACTTTGGACTTATACAAATTGCTATTAAACCCTTATCTAGAACAAGTATAGATTCACCTATTCTTATGCTATTACGAGATAAAACTCTATTAAATTTTGAAAACTCCCTATTAGGAGCTGTCCAATCAAATTTATGCAACGGAGCAATATATTTTCATTGCGCTCCTAACAAACAATACTCAATACTTTAGTACTAAACGTCCACCTACCAGAAATTAAATTTCAAAATGAAAGACANGGCTATTTATTGCTATATCGAATNTANTTTAAGCAATCAACATCTGAGTTTAACCCAAGATGTTTATTACAAGANNATAANGGNGAAACTACTATTTTAGCAATACATAGTAAAGATACTCCAACAGCTACCTATACGCCTAAGCAATTAAATTGGAACGAAATCACTATTCCAAAACAATGGAAAATTGATATAACGCAACCACCTAGAATTTTTGAACAAAAAAGTATATAAAAAATAATTGAAAACCGAGATGAAAAAATATTATTACAATTTGGATCATTTAGAGATCCACTTCCACCCAGAATTAGTTCATACCACTCAAGAGCATCCTTTTCCGAATTNCGTACTNGTCAACCTAGTACTGATTCTGAATCAGAAAGCGTAAATCAAAATATTAATCAAGATAACACAATTAAATTTGAAGCACCAATAGTTGAACCTAATCAAGATAGGTATCCAACATCTCCTACCCCATCCGATTTCAAGTCAATAAATGTTATAACCAAAAAATATGAAATTAATATACAATATATATTAAAGAAGACTTTTATTCAAAAGAAAATGAGGAAAAACGTAATTGGTATTTTCAAACATTTTCTAAACAACAAACAATCGAATTTAGAAAAAAAAAATGGTATAACAGTATGCTACTCAAAGAAATAGAAATCCCATTTTTCATATGGTTTGAGACATATTCAATAGCCCATGATATTAGTTATCCATTCAGATNAATCAACACTAGNTCATCCTTACACCANGTATGGGAATTGATTGATGGTAGTAAAACTAAAACAATCCATCCACCTTTGAGAGACTTAAAATTAAATACATCAAATAGGGCATTTGTAGCCACACTTTTTAAAACCGGAGCTAATAGAGAAGACAAAGATCCTGTAATTATGCAAGATATTAAGGCAGTATATCAACAAAATAATTATCAAATTCAATTACTACACACAATATCTAAACAAATAGATAATATAGATAATAAAATAAATGAAAATGATAAAATAACTCAGATCAACCAAACTATGCAACATCCTTTCTCATCTGTATCACCTCCAATATTTAAGCCAATCACTAGCCAAATCAAATTTGGGGAAAATGAGATTTTAAAATCTATAGCCAATAGATTAGATAAGTTTGATAAGGGAAAAAATATTAATATTATAGACGAAAATGATATTGAATCTATACAAACACTACAAGAAAACACAGTTTTAGCGTCGGCAAAATTCGATGCTAAATCAATGCTAAAGTCCTTTAGCATCGACTTAGCGTCGAATCACAATTCGACGCTAATCTGTCCACGCTAAACAGGTTTCGACGCTAATTCGATGGGACAAATCGATGCTAATTCGACGCTAAATTAGCGTCGAATATAATTCGACGCTAATTCGATGGGAAAAATCGATGCTAATTCGACGCTAAATTAGCGTCAAATTAGCATCGACAGAAGACGGACCCGATGCTAAATCGACGCTATTTTAGCATTGGAAAAATCGACGCTAAAACGATGCTATATTTCGATGCTAATTCAACGCTAAATTAGCATCGACTTAGCATCGAATCCGTCGTTTATCGATGCTAAATCGACGCTAA